CACTTAACAGGTTGTGTATATAGTAAATCAAGTTCCAACTAAGGACGTCCTAAAGACACCTTTTAAGTTATTCAAAGGTTTGAAACCTAGTTTATGACATATACACGTTTGGGGATATCCGTCTAAAGTAAGGATTTATAACCCACAAGAGAAGAAACTAGACCCTAAGACTATTTTTGGGTATTTCATTGGATATGCTGAAAAGCCTAAAGGGTATAGATTTTATTGTCCATCTCATAACACTAGAATTGTGGAATCAAGAAATGAAAAATTTCTTGAAAATGAATTGATTAGTTGGAGTGATTTAATTCAAGATATTAATTTTGAAAAGGATCATTATAAAGTTCAACCCTTTCAATCAAATAATAGACATCCACGCTCCTTTAGTTCAAGAGCGTGTTAGACAACCAGTTACTCAAGTTCCACAAGTAGTTGGAGATGATAATGTAGATCCAATTGTTGAAGAAAACAACAAATAGATGTTGAACAACCTATTGAACAACCGGTTGAATAACAAGTTTCTCATCAAGTTAGTGAGAGAACATTAAGAAGATTTACAAGAATCAAAAGATCATCTATTTCTAGAGATTATGAAGTGTGTTTACAAGAACCAAATTATAACATTAGAACCGAAAATGATCCTAAAACGTTTTCACAAGCCATGAATTCTAAGGAATCATATTTGTGGTATAATGCTATGAAAGATGAGATGAATTCTATAACTTCTAATCAAGTATGAGATCTTTAAGACTTTAAGACTAAGAAATACTCAAAAGGTAACATTGAGAGACATAAAGCAAAACTTGTTGCCAAAGAGTTCACTCAAAGAGAAGGAATCGATTACGAGGAGACATTTTCTCATGTATCTAAGAAGGATTCCTTAAGGATAGTCATGGCATTAACAATTCATTTTGATTTTGATATACATCAAATAGATGTGAAAATGACATTTTTTAACGGTGATCTAGAAGAAGAGATTTATATGAAATAACCTGAAGGATTCTTCAGTAGTGATGATGAGCACTTAGTATGTAAGCTTAATAAATTCATCTATGGATTAAAACAAACTTCACGCTAATGATATTTAAAATATCATGAAGTTATTTTTCGTTTGGTTTTGAGGAAAACATCATGGATCAATGTATATACCCGAAGATTATTAGTGGGAACAAAATTTGCTTTCTTGTTTTATATGTGGATGACATTTTTCTTGCAACTAATGACAAGGGAATGCTATATGAGGTGAAACAATTTCTCTCAAAGAACTTTGATATGAAAGATATAAGAGAGGCATCTTATGTCATAGGCATTACAAACCATAGAGAAAGATCTCGAGGTGTTTTGGGTTTATCTCAAGAGGCTTATATCAACAAGGTTCTAGAGAGGTTTAACATGAAATATTGTTCACCGAGTGTGGCTCCCATTGTGAAGGTTGATAAGCTTGAATTAGGTCAGTGTCTAAAAAATGATTTTGAGCATGAACACATGAAGAGTGTCCCATATGCTTCAGCTGTTGGAAATCTTATGTATGCTCAAGTCTGCACCAGACTAGACATTGCATTTGCAGTTGTAGTTTTGGGAAGATATCAGAGTAATCCAGGTGTTGACCACTGGAAAGCTGCAAAGAAATTAATGAGTTACCTTCAATGAACAAAGGATTTCATGCTCATATACAAACATAAACTGATAGTTTGGATGTGATAGACTACTCTGATTCAGACTTTGCTGGCTGCACTGATACCAGAAAATCTACATCTAGTTACATTTTTATTCTAGCTCGTGGAGTTGTATCTTGAAGCATAAAAAAACCAGACCTTGACTGCTACTTCTACTATGGAGGTTGAGTTTGTTTCTTGTTTTGAGGCTACTTCATATGGTGTATGGTTGAAGAGTTTTATATCTGGGCTTGGAATTGTGGACTCAATTGTTAGATCATTTAAGTTATATTGTGACAATTCTACTGCAACATTTATGGTTAAGCAAAATAAGAATGGAAGTCGAAGTAAGTACATCGACATCAAGTATCTAGCCATAAGAGAATATGTTAAGGAAAAGAAAGTGGTCATTGAACATATTAACATTGAGTTGATGATTGCTGATCATTTGACTAAAGGCATGCCACAAAAGAATTTTAAGGATCATCTAACAAAAATAAGACTTAGTTCCATATTGTGATAATTTATAATTTTATAAAGCTCTCATTCAGTTTCATGGTTTCTCATTTATTTGTGCACATATTTGTTTAATTGTTAGAAATATCATTAGTTTGACCAAGAATAAACATAAGGTTTATTCATTAATGTTAAAGAACATTTTATGAGAGACTTAATATATTGTGATACATGGGAAATACTCATTATTAGATGACCTGTCACCATGATTTATATATTTAGTTTCTCTTAAGATTGATAATAGAATAAATGGAAGAATGTTGCACAATCCATCTCACCTTCCCATGATCTGGTGGTTATCCCTTGATCTAGTGATTATCCCAAAATTTGCGTAGAATGCTCCATTTTCAGAAACCCATTATTTGACAGTTTTACAGGTTGCGATTTAGAATTTTGTGATGACCAATGCTCTATAAATACTATATATGCTCGAGTGCTCTAAGATTACCAAATTTGCTCTATTCTTTAGTATACCATACCATAGTGCTAGGGAATTAAGGTTGGGAAACTAAGAAACGTATTAAAAAAGCTTTGCTCTAGAACAATGGTTGAATGTTAATAAATATTTATATGTTTCCGCTTTATTATGTTTTATAGAAATAACTTACTATACATGTAGAAAATTTTTTTCTTTTTAAAAGATTAATTATACAAATAGATCGGATCATATTTCCACGATTTTGCTTAAAATAAAATATAAAATATAATATATCTATTATAAAAAAAATCTGTCGTTAATATATTTATTTCATTACTGAACACCTAAAACCTTCTTCCTTTCATATTTGCTTTATGAAAATAATGTGTTAATAGTATATGTTTTTGTTTGTTTGTACTGATTTACTATGATAGAGAATTTGAAGAGGAGATTTGTGGAGATATCTATTGATTTGTTTCTGTTGATTTGAGTGGATATGCCATGATAGGGAGGTAAGTCTCATACCATCATAAATCTATTATGAAACACTGACAAATAGTGAAAAAGTTGGTGGTTAAGTAAGAATTACTCTCGTTAACTTTTCTCATCTTCTAATGTCTACTTAATTTATCCATTTTATTTCATAAGGGTAATTTATATCTATTATGAAACAATGATAAATGGTGAAAAAGTTGGTGGTTAAGTAACAAATATCTGAATTACTCTTGTTAACTTTTCTCATCTTCTAATTTATTTGTTCTTTATATGAATCTACTTAATTTATCCATTCCATCTCTAAAAATAATTTGTTCTTTATATTAAAAATATTATTATTCAATAATCATATATTTAATCATATCAGTTACGATAAATAAATATGATTTCTTTATATCTACTATCTTTTCTTCAATATAAAAAACTTCTAAATTCATTGAATTATTATTCAATAATCATATATTTAATCATATCAGTTACGATAAATAAAGTTGGATCTCTTCATATCTACTATCTTTTCTTCAATCTAAACAACTTCTAAATTCAATGAAATTCACTCTTTCAAATTTCCACCCTAATCCAAACACAAATTTAAGGAGAGATATCAATAATGGATCAAAATTCCAATACAAATCAATTATAAAATCAATTTGATTATCTTTTTTAAAATACACGTATTTAGTTTTTTTTTTAATTTTTTATACGTAAATATATTATGTTCTGAAGGGTTTATACATGCTGTGTGATTATTAGTTATAATATTTTTTATGTTGTAGAACATGTGATATAAATCTTTAAATATGTTTTTAATTATTTTAAAGCATATATATTTTTTAATTTAATTAGTGTTTATTTTATATAACTTTATGAGAAAATATTTAAAGATAAAAAACTAAAATAAAAATAAATGTCAATTAGAGAAAACTAGAGAGATGAAAAGAAAGGAAAAAAAAGTTACGTGACTGCGTATGAATATATCATGTTAGGTGATATATATATAAGAACGAAATATATTAAAAACACAATTTTTTAATTAATATTCATACTGGTTAAACTTTATGATAATATATAACAAAAAAAGATTTAAATGAATTATGAGAATAGACCAAGTTTATAATTTTTAATTAAAAAAGGCAAGAGCAAATATAGGGGACCAGCCGGTAGGTCCGCACAAAAAATTTATCTTTTATCTTTTCTTTAATTTTTTCATTTTAACGATCACTTATTTTATTTTTTCATAATTTTTTTATCATTTTTATTTATTAATATAATAAATTAATATATATAATGTAATATAAAAATATAAAATTATTGATATAATTTTTTATTTATTATAAATTAATTAATTATTTATTATTTTATGATGTTTTATTTTGATATAAAAATAAAATAAAATAAAATTCAAAAATGACTAAAAAAAATTATAAAAAGAAAGATGATAAATGATAAAATACTTTATTTATTTTTTTCCAAAATTTGATTTCAATTAATAACGTTGATCTTCGTCCTATATAAATTCGTCATTCCCTCCAAAAAATAAATAAATTAAAGTTTGTGTTAAATATTTTTTCTCATAATTATTAGAGAAATGATATTTGATAATTTTATAAATAAAAAAATCATTAAAACAATCCACTTTTATTAATATAATAATTATAAAATGATTTAATAAAAATGAAAATAAATTAATATTATTATTATAATATTAAAAGTGGGATGTTTTCGAAGATGTTATGATTTGGGGTTGTGAATGGTCCCAGATTCTTTGTAACGCATTTTAACCCTTGTGCTGCAAGTTGCATGTGCCATAAAACAATTATCCCTCGTGAACTTGTTAAATACATACACAAACCCACACATTACCAGCAGACAATTACAAAATCCACCAGTGATCTTACTCTTGAAGCAGAAAGCCAATGGCGGATTTTCTCAATGGAACCTTTTCCTTGTGGTTCATTCCCATGCAAGCATTCTTCATCATACTGGCCTTTTCCACCATACTCAATCTTCTATCCAAACTCAATTCCAATGCAGAAAAAAACTCACCACCATCTCCTCCAAAGCTTCCAATAATCGGAAACCTACACCAAGTTGGCACCCTCGTTCACCGCAGTCTCCATTCATTTGCTCAAACCTATGGCCCTGTAATGTTGCTTCACTTTGGGAAGGTCCCAGTTCTCGTGGTGTCAACAGCTGAGGCTGCTCGCGAGGTTATGAAAAACCATGACCTTGTTTTCTCCAATAGACCACATTCTAAGATGGATGATATCCTCTTATATGATTCCAAAGATGTGGGAAGTGCTCCTTATGGAAACTACTGGCGGCAGATGAGGAGTATTTGTGTCTTGCATCTTCTCAGTGCAAAAAAGGTTCAATCCTTTGGTGCAGTGAGAGAAGAGGAAATCTCCATATTGATGGAAGAGATTAAGAAGTGTTGTTCTTCTTTGATGCCTGTGAATTTAACTGATTTATTTTGTAAACTCACAAATAACATAGTGTGTAAAGCTGCTCTCGGAAGGAGATACAGTGGAGAAGGAGGGGCAAAGCTTCGGGAGCCATTGAATGAGATGATGGAACTGCTGGGTGCTGCAGTTATAGGGGACTACATACCTTGGCTTGATTGGTTGGGAACAGTTAATGGAATGTATGGTAGGGCAAAGAGAGTGGCTAAACAGCTTGATGAATTTTTGGATGATGTTATTGATGAGGATGTTAGTAAAAGAGGGCATGATGGTGATGGTGATGGTGACGATGATGATGATGATGAGCAGACTCATTTGCTGAAAGTTATGTTGAGGATCCAGAAGACAAACTCCATGGGGTTCCAGATTGACAGAACAACCATAAAGGCATTGATCCTGGTATGTAAGATTAGTACAATGTGTGTTACACTTAAAAAGTTTACGTAAATAGAAAGAATATATATATATATATATATATATATATATATATATATATATATATATATATTTAATAAATAACTATTAAAATGAAATATATGTGTAATGACGAATGTCCATGAATTATTTTTTAATTAGAGCAATAATACTGAGAAAACTTGTATATTTTTATACACTACTTTCCTAAGCAAAAGTTAGGTCACGTATTAATACATTTATTTTCCTTTGCGGAATTTCGGTGTTCATAGAGAATGAAACTGAGAATTGAAGGGTATTTGTTTCAGGATATGTTTGCCGGGGGTACTGACACTAGCTTCACAGTCCTAAGCTGGATAATGACAGAGCTCTTAAGGCACCCAACTGTGATGCAGAAGCTACAAGGTGAGATAAGGAATGTGGTTAGTGGCAGAACTCGCGTGACTGAGGAAGATTTAAGCAGCATGCATTACTTGAAGGCAGTGATCAAAGAAACTTTTAGATTACACCCCCCTGGACCCTTGTTGATTCCAAGGGAATCCAGGGAAGATGTGAAAGTGATGGGTTATTACGTTGCAAAGGGCACAAAATTAGTTGTTAATGTTTGGGCAATTGGACGAGATCCTTCTTATTGGGAGCAACCTCTGGAGTTCAAACCAGAGAGATTCTTAAATAGTTCAATAGATGTGAGAGGACATGATTTTGAACTGATACCATTTGGAGCAGGAAGGAGGGGCTGTCCAGGAATAACGTTTGCCATGATTGAGATTGAGCTGGTCCTAGCAAACCTTCTACACCAATTTGATTGGGAAGTGCCTAGTGGAGTAATGGGGGATCAGACACTGAACATCACTGAAATTTTTGGGTTGTCCACGCATAGAAAATACCCTCTCATGACAATTGCATCCCATCGTGCATAAGAATGTAAGTTACTTTCTCTAATCGGAATGTTAGCCCTTACTTTGTCTCTTTCTCTAAATGTGACCTATTTTATTTAGTTATTTTTTCTGTTGCATTAATCTTTCTACTTATAGTATTGTAGGAGAATCAGAATTATGCAAATTTTTTTAATATTTATAAATTGATGATTCTTAATTTAATCGTTAATTACATTTTTATTTTAATTAAATTTAGAAAATTTTGACGGTCAAATCTCATACATCTAACTCAATTATGTAGAAATATTTTTTATTATTATCATTGCAAAAAAAATATTAATTTAGAGAAAATAATTATAAGATTGTACATTGTCTCAATATGCCTCCTTAATAAGTCATAAAAATTAAAAAAATATTATATCAAATTAATTTAATATCTAAATTTTAGGTGTTATTATAATTTTAATTCTAGAACTTAATTTTAATGATTATAAAATATTTGTTTAAAATTTTTATTAGTTTAATTTTGTAAGCTTTAATTTAGATAAAAATATTTAAATAAGAAATTGTCTCAACTTGCATATTTAAAATTTAATAGGAAAAAAAATCTCATATTCAAATAATTATTTTTTCAATAAATTCTTATTTTTAATATTAATATAAAAATTATAAATTTTAATTTTAAATTTTGTGATTAAAATGGAAATAAATTTTATTTAGTTTAGATCCAATATTTAAGATAATAAGTTGCTTGCATCTTTAAATTTTAGAATTACAACTTAAAATATGCCACATTCAAATAATTATTTCCCTACTAATTTCTTATTTTTAATATTTATAAAAAAATTAATAAATTTAATTTTAAATATTTTGATTAACATGGAAATAAATTTGATTTAATTTAAATAAAAGACTTAAGATAACAAGGTGTCCCAACTTTCATTTTTTCAACTTCGATTTTTTCAATTTAGAATTAAAAGTATGTGGTATAATAATTTTTTTACTAATAAATTATAGTTTTTAATATTTGTAGAAAAGTTATAAAATATAATTTTAAATATTTCAAATTAAACTAAAATATTATAAAATAAATAATTCTCAAAATGGGGAGTTTTCAGTATACTTATTTTAAAATATTATTCTTATTCTTCTTCTTCTTCTTATTATTATTAAAATAATAATAAAATATCCTTTATATTTTTAGTTTATTATGCATGATCTTATTTAATATCAGTAGTTCTTAATTAATTTTATAAAGTCTATTTTTTTATATTGTTATAGTAAATAAAAGATAACTCAAATATCAAAGTCTTGAAAAAAAATTAATGAAATAAGAGAAAAATTTATATAATAGCCGAAGGTTTAACTTTTAATAGGCAGGTTTATCTTAAAAAGAGAAGACGTAAGAATGTGTGAATGAGATTAAAGTGAAAGAAAGTAGAAATATCTTTATTCAAAGGAAAAACCGTGAAAAATAGAGAAATCTAAAAAAAAAATCATTAAATCTTCACATGATAAAATATTTTTACGCATACAATTGCAACGACTATATATGTTTTTAATTATTTTCCATACAAAAGATATTCAATATTTATAAAACTGTAGTCACATTAATAGAATTTGATACTATATATATATATATATATATATATATATATATATATATATATATATATATATATATATATATATATATATATATATATATAAGTTTTGATGGAGTAAAATTGGTTCCATTGCATGATAATATGATTTTTTTTTTAAGAATACTTTAGTAAAAGATGAAAATGACACTAGTATAAAATCTTAAGTATAAATTTTATAGATTCTAATTTAAAAAGATTTAAAAGGGATTATATATACCACATAAATAATGTCATTTAAAATGAAGTGAAATGAGAAAGTTGAAATATCAATATATCATACATACTGTAACTTTAGTTTTATTTTAAATTTGCAATCTCTCTTTCTCCTCTTTTTTTTTCTTACTCATTCTTCCATTTTTTTCTAGATCTAGACCTCTTTTCAATTTGTTTTCCTTATTTGTTCAACTCTCTTTCTCTCTCTTTATCCCAATTAGAATGAAATGGTAAAAATACTTAATTTAATCGTACAAAATCAGTTTAGTAATTTGAAAATTATACTGACTTATATATTATAATATTTCTAATCAATATGAAATTATTACACCTCTTCATTTTAAGGAGGATTTTCTCGTCAAACTCTCTTATATTAAAGAAGATTTTGTTTCATGTTCTAATATGAAATAGACTCTAATACCATATTAAAAATAGTGAAATACTTAATTTAATCTTATAAAACTTATTTAGTATGATGACGATTGTAGTTACTGATTATTATATCTCTAATTTTTTTTATCACATAATCTCTTTTCTCTATTTCTCGTACTCTTTTCTCTTATGTCTTTCTTCACCATAGTATTTATCGATTCGTCAGAAACTTCTATGAATAAAATATTATGCAGAGACTTCTTAGTTTAAATTTAGGAAAAATGAAAAATTGGAGAAGCAATTAGCATGTGCAGTATGAACTAAGTGTTTGTATGTAGAAGTAAGGGTAAGAATAGTGAAATGATTGATTAAGATGATGGAGGATAATTGTTAGTCTATCAAATTAAGGCTAAGAAGAAATTAAATAGTATCTTCTCCGAGAATATTTTTGAAAATGAACCCAAATGATCTCAATTAACAATTAATATAGTTTTAATCAAATTATAAATTATTTTTATCAAAGGGGTCTTAATTCTTTGTATGGGTTCTAATAAAAGTAAAAAAAAAATTGTAGTATTTGAAGTTAGTATTAATGTAAAGAAAAAAATAAATTAAAAAAGTGCTTTCTTAATTTAAATATGGACAAAATTAAATAAATATGGTCTATAATTTGTCGACGATAATTGGTTTTGTTGTCATGTGTTTTAATAATGATGTTTTTTCTTTAAGATTTATTTGTATTGTTATATTTTATCATTATTATATTTTAAATATTATCTATCTTGATGTTTTATCTTTTAATAATGATTTTATTCTTAAAAATTAACTTAATGAAGTAATTTGAAAAATTTGAATATAAAAAACAAATTAATTAAAGATAAAAGTATTATATTCTTAATTTTTAACCAGAGTGATAACATTAATATTTCATTCTTATATCTTTTACATACCATTGTTAAAGATAACTATTGAAGTTATTGTCATAATTATGCTATTGTTATGATATCTTGCCTTTAAAATATTTTTTTTTCAAACTTCTAAGTTTTTTAAATTGTTATTTTACCACAAAGTAACAAATTCTCGTATGTAAACCTAATAATTTATATATATATATATATATATATATATATATATATATATAAATTATTAGTAATTTTCACCTAATTAATCAACTTTATAAAACTAATTCGTAATTTTTACCTAATTAATCAATTTTATAAAACTAATTCTGAAAACCCTAAACTAATATTAATATATATATATATATATATATATATATATATTATATTATATTAGTTTAGGGTTTTGAGAATTAGTTTTATAAGATTGATTAATTAGTGGAAATTTAAATTATATTTGATCATTTGAGAAATTTAAGTAATGACTTAATAATGTGAAAATTAAAATTGTATTAGATCATTTGAGACACATTATGCATTTATGCGTAATATATATTATGTGCACAAATTTTATTTATTAATATATAAAGGAAATTTTTCTATGGTCTTCTATCTTAATATATTGTGGAAATTTTAGAATAAAAAATCTCTCATTTAAGCCAAAGATGAATCACAACTAAGATAATATATTATCTTGATTAATTTCTGTTATACTCCTTCTAGTTAATAGTAAGGTGATAAGGTTATTTTAATTTGATTCATATACTAAAAAATTACTTTAAAAATGCGTATATTATACAATATCACGTTAAAAAAATATAAAAATATTTATATATTGAGTGAACTTATGATGAAAGATGTTAATAACATAATATTTCTGCTGAGATTAGTTTAAACATATTTATGATTAAGTATTATTATAAGGTAACATTTGTGTATACCCAATATTTTATATGTATTTACAGTAGATATATTTCTCATATCTCTTTTATTTATCTCGTTTGTATTTATATAATTTGTTTAATTCAGTAAATTTTGTTCAATTTATTTTGTTCTGTATATATTTATACGCTATGATGTTTTTTTCATGAATGAGAAGGTCATTTGGACAGTGAGATGACACAACGAGTTTCTCGGAAGACGTTCTATCTTGTGAATTGCTTTGTCTTGTTTGTTGTCAAAACTTGTGGCTTTGTGACGTTTGAGTGAGGACAAGACTTGAAGGAGATACTGTGGTGGATATTGGCTGTAACTTCTGTGACCCAAAATTCACAATGCGATAATTTATTGACGTCACCGTTTTCTGCAAATGGGTCACCACCATTTTATTCATTAATTAGAGTAGGGACAATTATATTTGATAAAGAAAGAAAGGACTTTAGAAGTGATAAAACATTGGTACTGACGAGAATTCAAGTGTTTGTTTGAAAATTTGATAAAAATAAAAAAGTTAGAATAATTTATAAGTGATAAATAATTATAATTTAATAGTTTAAATGATTTAGTAAAAATAAAATGGTTAAATAATTTATAAATGATAAATAACCTTAATTTAATGATTTAACGGGCTTTGTGGATCATTTGTAAATGTTACTATTAAGGATCGGGAGCATTTAATATCGTTAGAGTCAATTTTTACGTTTGAGGTATTGTTCGCTTTGGAACTCTCATCTGTCACGGTTTTGTCCTAAAAAGATGTCTTGGTGGGTTAAGGGAGGAGAGTGTATATAAACTACCCTTGATCTCGATTCCTAAGTGATGTGAAACTTTATGAGCGGAAGCTCCAGGCCTCGACTCCTAAGCCATGTAGGACTTCATGAGCATAAGTCCCTAGTCGAGGATTAAGGGGTGTATGTGTATAAGTGAAGTGAGACTCTACTCTTGGCCCCACGGTGAACGTTAATGTTCCGAT